TTTTGTTGATGGTTTGGCTTGGTTTCATGTTGATGCTGTTAATGTCTCAGTAGACTAGTGAAGTTGCAAACGAATGAATTTTTTGTTAGGATCATTTTCTTTTGATAATTTGTACTGTGTCATTTATCTGGAACACTACTTGAAGGTTCTAACTGCATGATTTTGCCACAGTAACATTGCTCAGCTGGCAAAGGTTAAAATAATGAAAAGGCAAGGCCGGTGGGAGGAACTCCAAATACATCCCAGGTGACACCTTTTTCTCATGACTTATATATTTTAATACTACTTTCGATTTTAATTATAAGACCTCGTTTGTAGTTTACAAATGAGGTTTTGCAATTAGGACCAGAGGAAGTGTATATTTTTGTGAATTGCCTTCCACTTTGACAGTACAAATGAGGTCTTATAATTAAGACCAGAGAAAGTATATATTTTTGTGAACTGCCTTCCACTTTGACAGTTTCTTCATTAGATCTTCCGTGGTCTAAAAACAATAATGAAACTTAGGGTCCTACTACGACCTGCCCTTGAATCTCTATGACTTAGCTTCTGTTGTTTGTGCTTTACCTTGAATGCATTTGTTTTCTAGGTGTATAACAATGAAGCCATAAATTTGTTAATTTGTATATAGTTCTTGTTGGGCATACTAACTAGTGGTGATTTCTTCTCATGATTTTGTGAATCATCATTTCATTGTATAGCTAAAAAGTCTCTTGCCTTCGTATGCAGTATACGATCAATCGTTTGCCTCAACTTGCCCAGTTTTTCTGGGGGACTCAATCCTTGGGGAAAACCAAACAGAAACAAACCCATTTATGTAAGCGCTACATCGAAATTGTTGATGTTGTCTGTAACTGCGTACACAAGCACACAAATATGTGCGTGCAGATTTTAATCTTTTATATCATCCAATTATATTTTACAGTGGGACCTGACACCTCCATATGTGGATGATGGCCTCCTAGAGGTAGTGGGTTTCAAAGATGCCTGGCATGGCCTAGTTTTGCTCGCTCCAAAGGGGCACGGAACTCGTTTGGCACAGGTAGATATAGAACTCATCTTGTTTACGACTTTTGAGATCATTTTGAATGAAATAAGAGACCAAATACCAAATCGAGTGATTGCTCTCTACTTTTATTTGGAAACAACATATATAAGGAGTCAAATTATCGTTCTTCTTACTCATCTGTGCCTCCTATACATATATATAACTGCAATACGTAGTAATGAGAGAACCTGCTTTCATGCAGACCAGCAGAATCCGTTTTGAGTTTCATAAGGGTGCAGCCGAGAGTACTTACATGAGGATTGATGGGGAGCCATGGAAGCAACCACTGCCATCGGATGATGACACGGTTGTCGTCGAGATATCCCACCATGGCCAAGTAAGCATGCTCGCCGTCCGAGGCTGCCGTTCTAAAAGCATAGAAGAACCCGCCTCGCCTGCAAGTAACCAGGAGGAAGAAGAAGAGAGTGATGATGAAGGATCATCAGAGGGGCGTCGCAAGTTTGGAGCGGCTGACACTTTCAAATATCCCGACGAAGTTGATGTGGCTCAGCTTAGCTAGTGAGGAGGCACAGGAATAGAGTTGAGCTTACTGCTGAATGCTGGTATGTATGAAGTGCAAAAATGGTGGAAGTGAATGCAAATTTTGCATTCTTTGCTCATACTTTGCACTCATCACAGCCCGCGCCGTCGCATTTAAAATTTCAATGCATTTTCTATTACTTCAGTGTCGTATGTGTACGTGGTTATTGCATTTTCCTTTACTCCAATGCATGGGGGATATATACTGTTGGAGCTAAAAAATTTATTGAGCTTGTTTGATTCTATTCTCTATTTTTATGTTCTTAGAATACTTTTGTGTTAAAGTGGTTTTTTAGAGCAAGTCTTGGGGTACAATTTTCTTTTTTTTTTTTTTTTAAGAAAATCTGTTTGAATTATTAGCCTCAAACTCATATAAAGTAGTGAAACGAAATGTGAAAGAATGATTTTTTTTAATATTTACATAATCGTCTTTAATAAAAACTTAATGTTTATCATAATCAGAATAAATAGAATGAGTATTCAAACAATCATAAATCAGCTGTGTCTTCCCAAAAGACTCTACCCCCCAAGGCACAAGTCAGCAATATAACGTTATTGGGTACCTAGGACGGCACGTAACGCATGCAATATTTTTCATGTTAGGTAACTAAGTCAACCCACGGCGTCGTTTTAGCTCACCAAATTAAATTGATGAAACGCGCACAGACGAATGATGCTTATTGCTCTGAAATTGTTTAGGTATATATAAGCCAGCCACGTATACATTGTTGTGGCCATTGGGGTGCGTATATATGTTATATTATTGCAAGCGTATAACAATTTAATTAACTAATCAACGGAATAAATGGGAAAGGGAGAGTTTTTTGAATTTGTTTTATATTTGAATGTAGATGTTAATTATGTAATCAAATCAAAACTTAATATTTCATCACTCAGATCTTCATTTCTCAGAATCTTTCTTATTTTCACACTGATGAATTATATGAACACGCTGTCCTGTGGGGTGTTGATTATACGATCGATGAGTATGACACATTTTTTCCTGAGGAACATTCATTTTTAATTTGGAGTGAACTGCTTCATTATTGTCATATATTGTTTATTTTTGTTAGCCAGAATATGACCATTTTTCTATTATTCTTTAGATATGCTTTTACAATGGTCACTTGTTTGAGTTTTTAATCTGACTCATTTAGTGACTTATCTCTTTACAAAACTATTTATATTTTCATTTTATTTTTAGTAGACGATGGATTCATCGCCATTGACATTTGGCAAAATTTGTCACTAAAAGATTAATAAAAGACGGTTTAATTGGTAAAGATATAACCCAAATGATCAAGGTAAATTTTTTTTTTTGAAACATAAGTATAAAAATAAAATTTAAAATTGTAATAAATTATGAAAAACCAAATAATTAACTTTCGTAGTCAAATATAACACTTTTTTTTGGGGTTACAAAAATACAGAACTTGACGTGCATGATTAACTCTAATTTTGTAGGAAATAAAAAGAGGCCAGGAACAAGAAGAGGCGGCCCAGATGAGTAAGATATTTTGGGCTGGAGGATTAAGGCACCGTTATTGAGAGGAAGGCCTTTCGGCCTGTTTTGATCTAACTAAGCGGAAGATAAGACAGCAGTTTGAAATAAAGAGAATTGGATCTATCTATTGTTCTAAATAAAAAGTGTCTGAGATCTGTACCCAAAAAAAAAAAAAACAACGTCTGAGATAAAAAGAGGAAAAATATGTGAACCATGTTGCCTACAGTGCTATAACTTGTGGATGTTTAATTGTAGAATTGTTAGTTGTAGTTATTATCAGACGCATTATCTCATTTTGAAATGCTACCTCTAGTTATTAATATAAAAGCTATTTGCGAGTTAAATTTGGTTCTAAATATAATATTTCAATTCACTTTGTCTCTTATTTTTTCCAAAGTATCATATTGATTTTAAGGATTTTTTACCAAGTGATAATTCAAATCACCTAATGCAAATGGTTAAAGATGATAATTTAACAAGATCAACACACATTTATAAAAAATAACCTACTTAACTAATTTCATTCACATCTCCATATTAGTAATATAACTCTTATATTAATACTACCTCAGTGCTATATATTAGGCCTAATTTATAGTATAAATTATATTGCAAGCTAGGTCTTAAATGATACTTTTTTTTAAAGCAGTGAAAGCTTCTTCTTTTTTGTTTGACCTGAAGCAGTGAAAGCTTGACTAGTTTGAAAATATCTTGCTATATTTTATGCATTAATTTCTCGGCTTGGAATCTATCTGGTAATACGTTAGTCATTTAAGCAAGCAAGCCGAGGCTGCCGCTTGACATATTTGAAGGGTTCTGACTTAACTGAATATGGATATGCTCCGAACATTGAACAGTTCACTGCCATCCAAGATATTTGAAGCTTGATACATAACAAATTGGTATGACTATACACAAATTTTGAAAGCTAATCAAACAATAGAGAATTGGAGATCTTAAAAACTACAGACAAAACCACTTGAAAATGGCATCTTTAATGAGCAGTCAGGAAATGAAAGATTACCCTTCCGAAGAAACAATCCAGTGTGAATGGCCTCACATCTATTAGCAGCCAATCTTGATGAGTTCAGCAATACCAAACCTTACCAAATCTCTTTATTCTCTCCTTACTCCAATATTTGATTTTTGATTTCTATAATTAATCACCCTGTTGGTCAAAGGGAAAAAAGAGTCCTGTGTCCCATTAGCCAACCTATTTCTTGAGGGTTTTGGATTCAAATTTTAACCATATTTAAAGAGTTGTACCATTATTTTACTGTGCAAAAAGAGAAGTTCTCACTCAATCCAGTGAAATTATATGCAGCTCATCATGCTGTGTTTATAGCTATTTTAGTCTCTCTCAGCATTCCTGTTTTAGTTGAACGCTGTATGTAGCAAAATATCGCGAGTTAAAAACCCGACCCGTCGCCGGTTCTCTTTCTTCGAACCTTCCGCCTAAAAAAGCTACCGGACAAGAAGGGCCAAGTTTTCTTTTTCTTTCTATCTAAGCAAAAACAAAAAGTCCTCTTCTTGTTTGTCTTTTTAATATTTTTGTCTTGCTGGGCCGAAGTCTCTCGCTTGTTTCCTTTCCAACATTTATAACGCTAGCAAAAACGCGCCTTTCTTGTATCCAAAAAAGGAAAAAAAAACGCGCCTTTTCATAAACCAGAAAATAGACCGTTAAGCTCAATGAATTGACGAGTTCCCAGTTCACACCAAATTGCGGGACCCCCAAAGGCAAAAACAAAAACAACATCTTTCCACGAAACTTCCACGTCATGACCTTTCCGTTGGGGTGTGGAGCCCACTACCCGCCATGCGTTACCTTCGAACTCCCGTTAAAAGTGCACTTATCTTAAACAGTTCGCTCCTACATTCAAACCCATCATCAAAGTGAAAGACGAGATTTCTCCATTAAAATTGCCTGGATTCTCTGCTATCATTCCCAACTCATAAGCAAGTCCGTCAATCGATCTATAAAGAAAAATTTTCAGCAACTTTCACTTCTGGTACCTTTTGTCCATCTTGGAGCTTTTACGGCTGAAAGCTCTCTTGAGGAATCCGGAGATTACTTTCGTTGTAGCTCTGAAACATTCATTGAATATTTCTGCAAATAATCTCTTTCAGGTAAAGTATTTCCTTTTCGGGTTCTCCCACACATGTCTGCGATACCTCTCCCAGCTCTGCCAGCAAAACCCCGTTTGGTGGATAAGGAAAAAGTTTGTGATAAGTTTAAAAAAATTTCAGGGAATATATTCTCCTAATGATATCAAAGCTTTACCGATCAAACAGTTGCTTGTCTCTCATGAGTTTGTAAATCAAAGTATATTCTAGTATAGGCCCTTGCATGTTGATTTTGCTCAGCCTCCTTCTCGCCGAACTCACTACAAACGGCGAGAATGAACTTTTTGAACAGATTTTCTTGCCGTCGTGGGAAAATGGTGATCGGAGATGCCAGGTTTTCAAACTCTTACAGGATTTCCTTCTTAGATTGTGGGGAACAGATGCATGCATTACATTCCTGAATCTGTGTGTGATCTTCATACTGAATTGCTGATAATTAATTGTTTTCGTCGTTGACTTTGATGCTTGCTGAGCTCCTGACTCTCACTTTTTTGAACAATAAAACGCACAGCTTCACCTACGGCTAATTATTCTAGTGGAGGCTTGCAGCTGGTGTTTTACTGTTTTGCTTGATAATTGTGGGCTATTTTCTTTTTGAAACTGTATTACTGATGAAAACTTGTGGGTGATATCTATCTTTGCCTTGCCTGAGGCAAAAATAAAGGGAACTTGGTTGTGGACTTCCAATCTTGAATTTTAAGTATGTTGCCCCCAACGTAACCTTCTTAAATGGTTACATAAGATTTAACATCTGTACTAATCAGAGCCGTTCTCATTGTGTGTGTGCTATAAAAGAAGCCGTCTTTGGTTAAATTTCTTTTTCCTGGGCAGCTTTTCAAATTTTGACGGGTTGTAATAAAATTCAGCAGGTTGGAGGTAGCTATGGGTGATGTGAATTCCAAGAAGACTTTAAAGGACTTCTGTATTCCAGAATACATACTAGTATCAGGATCTGAGGTCAGAAGTAATTCCTATATACCTGCATGTCCCGTAATGGTCTTCATTAATTCCAAAAGTGGTGGTCAGCTTGGAGGGGAACTTCTTGTTACCTACCGTTCACTTCTTAATAAAAACCAGGTAGATTGTCGCATGTTATTCAGTCTATTTGTGTGTGTGTTAGATCGGACATTATAACTATGCAAATTTTTTAAGCCTGCATTAGTTTGGTACTAAGACAATAAATTTAGTTTTCAGGTTATTGATCTGGGAGATAAGGCTCCCGATAAGGTGCTGCATCAGCTTTATGTTACTCTGGAGACGCTCAAGCACAGAGGAGATAAAGTGGCCGCAGAAATTGAGAAGAGATTAAGAATAATTGTAAGTTTTTTAGAAGAAGTTGCAAACTTGATCGTTCTTTCACACTGATGGAATCCCTTTTCTATATTAAAAATAACTGATATATAGCATCTTCCAGTGAAGGGAATGAAACTGTTACAATGGATAGTTTGAACTTACACAAAGTGACTGTGCATTACAGCCATGAAAACAGTAAAGAAAAACACAGAAAATAAAGAAAATGAAGAGATGAAGCTCCTCCTCAGCTTCGTGTTTGAGAGACCGGACATTCTCTTAGTCCCCCTTGAACCCTCACTCCCTAATACATACCCAGCCAAATACTTTGTGACATCTCACTCAATGATATTTCACACGACTTTTTGTCTGTGAAAATCCTCCACTTGTCTGAACGCTCAATAGGTAGCCTTTGCTCCTTTTTAGATTTGTGGATTACTGTCTTTGATGCCAATTGATAAGTTACTAATTCAGACTCTTCCAAGAGCTAGTTATTGAGTTGGGAGAACCAACTCACTTAAATACCCCTTTAACACCTCATATCATTCAAATTTACGACTTATATATGTCATACTATCCAAGTTTCCGCACCTAGTTCCTCTCCCATCCCTCACACCATCTCATCACAAATATTGCATCCTAGGTCCTCCCCAATTTACTGTATTTTATCTTCATTTTCTTCCCATAGGCCTTGAGCTGTGGGTCTGTCACATACCAATGGGCAAATGTGCTTAGCAACATTTACTTTATATATACTCTCTCTGACGATAGTTTATTATTTGACATCTCTAATATATTCCTAGAAACTTAGGTTGCAGGTGGAGATGGTACTGCTGGTTGGCTTCTTGGAGTGGTCTCAGATCTCAAACTGCCTCAACCACCACCAATCGCTACAGTGCCATTAGGGACAGGAAACAATCTTCCCTTCTCATTTGGCTGGGTATATTTTCTAGCTACTTACTCAATTTTGTGAACTCACAGAATGACAAAGTATTAAAACTATAGATGATCACTGGGATAATTTTTATTTCACAGCGAGCATTTGGACATGAATTCTTGATGTTATATTGACAATGTTGTACCTTATCATTAGTATTCTGCTCTTTTATGCCGTATCACATCCACATATATGGTTATCATTGATGTTAGGTATAAATGACATCTAATTGTCATATTGTTTTGCAATTTACTCCAGAATCTAGAAACAACTTCTCTGTTTGTTGTATGTAAATGTGTTGTCTAGACAGTGCACACATATGAGGGATCTGCAAATTTAGTCGTGGTTGAATATATGGTGCAAATATTTGCTCTTTGCTGGAATCAGCATAATTACAAGCATGTTTAGACGCTGGAGTATAAAGTTTTGTATTTACAGGGTAAGAAAAATCCCGGCACTGACTGTCAATCTGTGGTATTTTTTCTGAACCAAGTAAGAGCTGCAAAGGAAATGAAAATAGACAGGTATTGCCTCCTTTTCATTTAAAATTTTTTAAACCCATGAATTTCATAAATGTAAATAAGAGTAATATTTCATTGCTATGAAAACCCAATGGCGCCTCACTTCCAGAGTGACAACTATGTCTGTGTCAAACTGTATGAATTAATGACTGAGACATTTGAGATGCCATTATATACTGAATAATCAGAAACCCAAAATAACTACTAAGAACATCCTTTGTTGGATATAGGCTTCAAGTATTTTAATTCTTTTTCAGCTGGCATATTATGATGAGAATGAAGGCTCCAGAAAAAGGTTCTTGTGACCCCATTGCACCTCTTGAGCTGCCTCATTCTTTGCATGCATTCCACCGTGTTTCTCCAACAGATAAGCTAAATATGGTAAGTTTTATTTATTTTTTGTACGTTTATTTCTTTGAATAGATTTGAAAGCTGATGAATTTCTATATTTAGGAGCTTCTGTCATTTTTTTTTTGCACCCATCTCCAGAGTGAAATGGTACAAAGAACACTCTTTCAAGAAAAAAAGCTATATTATAATGATTGTAGTTATATTTCATATCACGTGGGATCTTCCCGTGCTTTATGTCAGCTTGGTGTTATTGCATAGATTCAATTCCTGTGCTTCCATTGCCCAGACGTTGTGCTAGCCGTCCAGTTGTTGATGTATTTTCATGCCTCTCTAGAGTTTTTGAGCTGTAGAACATGACCATTAAGCTCAAGGCGCCCCTTAAAAATGCTACTCTTGGGAACTCTCTTTTTATAGGTGTTAGCATAGGAGTGCAAGAGTGCTGTCAATTCTAAATAAGTAATGTATAGCTTTGTTTGAAGTATGAACTTTAGGTTAATGGTCATGTCGGCAATTGTTATGGTCTTGATTTTTCTTCTATGCTTGATCCCAGTATTTGGTTGGGCCATGACATCTTTTTGGTACATAGTATAAGAAAAGATTTGGAAAAAGAGGGTTAAAATGGATGCAGTAAGTTGTTGGATTCTTGATATGTATCAGCTGTAAGTACTTTTTAGTTACTTCATATGAATGTGGTGTTACATGCATGTTTATTGATGAATTATTTTGTTTCAGGAGGGTTACCATACTTATCGTGGGGGATTTTGGAACTACTTTAGTATGGGTGAGGAACTCACGCACAATTTAAAAGTTCAAGTTATGTTTGGGCAAGTGGCGATCGGTTTTCCCAGAAATTCGATTACCATTTCATTTCCTTTGGCAAGATGCTATATGGAACAGCTAAATAAAAATTGGAAACTGTTAGATTAATGAAATCCACAAGTGCATCTAAAATGTGTCTTTGATGCAGGAATGGATGCTCAAGTATCATATGCATTTCACTCGGAGAGAAAGTTGCATCCAGAAAGATTTAAAAATCAATTGCATAATCAGGTACCACATTCTACAAATTTTATGCAGGATGAGCTGAACTGTGAATGTGTGTTTCTTATATTTTGTCCCATTAATAATTTGTTATCTTACAGCAATAAATGGAATCTCATGCATGGGGTTAATTTGAATTATTAGATGTTTTCGTCTACTACTAACCAGTTCTACTATAAAGTGTTCTTCAATTGATTAATGAAAAATTACAATTATCAAACATCCGAACAGTTTATTTCAATTCTCGTTCTCGTACATAGTTTTTAAGGCATCAGCTCGCATTTGATGAATTCTTCTCTGCCATGGAAGGCATATTTGGCATACGTTTGGTGTTAACACTTAACCTTTTCTTTTGCACTTCTTGTCAATAATTCTTCTCTTTCAATGCTTTTGTTTTGATAAACAGAGTGCATATCTGAAGCTTGGATGCAAACAAGGATGGTTCTGCTCTTCTTTATTCCATCCTTCATCACGGTTAGTCACCATTGAGGCATTGATTGTATTACATTTCGTATTCACTTAGAAGAAGATAAGAACACATTGCTGATAGAAATACTATGTTATTTTACTTTATCAGGCTTGGTTTCATGTTGATGCTGTTCTTATAATGTCTCGGTAGACTAATGAAGCTTAAGATCGTTTTCTTCTGATCATTTGTGTCATTTATCTGAAACATTCAAACGCAATAACTGCACGATTTTGCCACAGGAACATTGCTCAGCTGGCAAAGGTTAAAATAATGAAAAGGCAAGGTCGGTGGGAGGAACTCCGCATACATCCCAGGTGACACTTTTTTTCTTATGATTTATTTAATATGAGTATTTTTGTGAATCGTCTTCCACTTTGACAGTTTCTTAATTAAATCTGCCCTAATCTAAAAGCAATAATGAAACTTAGGGGTCCTACTAGGACCCTTGAATCTTTATGACTTCGCATCTGTCGTTTGTGCTTTACATTGAATCCATTTATTCTCCAAGCATAACAATCAAGCCAAAATTTTGCTGCTTAGTACATGTAGTTTGTTGGGCTTACTAACCAGTAGTGGTTTCTTTTCATGATTATATAAATCATGATTTCAATCTATACTAAAACGTCCGCCTTTCACATGCAGCATACGATCAATCGTTTGCCTCAACTTGCCCAGCTTTTCTGGCGGACTCAATCCTTGGGGAACACCAAATAGAAACAAATCAATTTACGTAAGTGCCCTATTTCAGCTGTCGAGGTTCCTGATGTTGTATGTAACAACACAAACACACGATCATGTGCGTTTATGTCAAGACATACTTGTTAAAATTTTATGAAGATTTAGGCATGTAGATTTTAATCCTTTATAATCAATTGTATTTTACAGAGGGATCTGACACCTCCATATGTGGACGATGGCCTTATAGAGGTAGTGGGTTTCAGAGATGCCTGGCATGGTCTAGTTTTGCTCGCTCCAAAAGGGCATGGCACTCGTTTGGCACAGGTAGAACTCATCAATTTCGCGACTTTTCAAATATTCTTTTTCAATGAGATTCCAAATCGAGTGATTGCTCTCTATACTTTGAAACAATATGGAATCAAATGATTGCTCTTGCTCATCTGGGTCTCCTATAACTGCAATAATAATGAGAGAACCTGCTTTCATGCAGACCAGCAGAATCCGTTTTGAGTTCCATAAAGGTGCAGCTGAGAGCGCATTCATGAGGATTGATGGGGAGCCGTGGAAGCAACCTCTCCCATCAGATGATGATACGGTTGTCGTCGAGATATCTCACCATGGCCAAGTAAGCATGCTTGCCAACCCAGGCTGCCGTTCCAAAAGCATACATGAACCCTCCTCGCCTGTTAGTAGCCAGGAAGAAGAAGAAGAAGATAGCGATGATGAAGAATCAATAGAAGGGCGTCGCAAGTTTGGAGCAGCTGACACTTTCAAATATCCCCATGAAATCGACATAGCTCATCTTAGTTAGGTGCACAGTAATAGAGTTGCTTACTGAATGCTGGTGAAGAGCAAAAATGGAAGTAGTCAATGTAAATTTTTCATTCTTTGCTCGTAGTTTGCACTCGGCGCTCATCACGGCCCATTGGATTTTAAAATTTCATGCATTTTTTTATTACTTAATGTATATGTGATATATTTTTGGAACTAACAAATTACTATCCCCAGCTGGTTCAATTTAAACTTATTTTTTTAACAAATTATCTCCATCTGACAGTACATTATTTATTGCAAAGAATTTAGACTCATCTACGTCTCTTTTCACATAATTATGATATCTAGAACGAAGAGATCGAAGCAATCAACTGCTCAAACAATCACAAATCATCTGCGTCATCCCAAATTGCATCTCTCTCAATGATTTACAATGCCCTAGGATACAAGCTAGCAATATTATTGGGCACCTTATGCTCAAATTTAAGTGCATTTATGCCCTACGGTACAAGTTAGCCATACAGATTCCCTAATGACGTCGCAAAATGAGTCAAGGGAACCAATGTATTGGTCTATCCCAGAGACCCAGACCATCCTCATCACCATCAAAAACAGTCACACAGTGTCTGAACTGAGCGAACAGTTTGAGGCAACATTATAAGCTTGGCACATTTGAAGATTTTATAAGTTTTGAAGAGGCTCACACATCATTACTCCTCTACATATGCTCCTTAATTCTGGAAGGTATTTTAAGGACAAAGATACTAACTTTGAGTGAGTGGAAGTTATAAATTCTCTAGCATCCACGCCGTATTGGCTACCACCATAGTTTTCATCATCTGCGCCATCTGCATCTTCTGGGGTTGCTGAAGAGATTATTTCCCTCATTGACTCACAATGATGAACAATAGTAGTTCTGGGGTCAGCAACTTCTTGATATTAGGGCAGTGGCAGATGCATATATAATTAAGACAGGGAAAAACTCTTCGTGGTGGCAAGGTTTGAGCCAGAGTATCATCTTCCTTGCACAGAAACGCAAGGCTTTCAGTTTACAGAGTTCCAGTGACCTCAAGTTTTGATGAGAAGTGCAACAGCTGGAAGAGCAAGACAAGGAGATTAAGTACTCTGGCTTGTCACAGTCAGCAATCTCACATCGTCTCAAGGATGCGGCATTTGTCAATGACAGGACATCACATAAACTTCTCATGTCATGACATCTTTCAACTTTCAATCGAAGAATGTCTCTAGCGAGCACCAGCTCAATTTCTCCTGTTTTGAGACTACAACTTGTAACTATGACATCCTTACTAGAGCAAGCTTCAGTGAAATATAACTGTGGAGCCTGAACAACAGATTCTTGAGTGTCCAACTGAAGAAGGTAACTTTCAAGTCCTGAACTATGCATAACTTTTACATAGGAATTGAAATGATGCACATTGTACAAGTTACCTGCCAAAGCTTCCAACTTCCTCAAGCCTGGGATATCCTCTACCTTCACTTTCATCTTTCTGGACCACCAGTGAAGAATAAGGAACTGAAGGTGAGTCAATGTGGCTATTTCTTTTCTTCTTGTCATCTTCAAATCTTTAGCGTAAAGGTTCGGCCTTCTAAGATTAACCAGCCAACCTCTTTAAGGCTTGGAGCTTCGCTAGAGAAGGACCCTCAACTGGCTGCAAGATGTTGACAATAACGCAGTGAGGGTCTTCAAGTCAGAGACAGAACTTGGCATGACTGTGAAAGACAAATCAAGTACTTGAAGAGCAGACGTGTGAAAGAAAAAAGAATCTGAGATCCATGTCAAGGATTCGTTATGCTTCAAAATTAAAAGTTGAGTTCGGGACACCTAGATGACATGCCCGCTGAAATTTCATGTATCCAGTTCCACATTAAGGAAACCTTCTTCAGGTCCTCTCTCCAATCTTGTTGATCTGGGTTCTCAGTTAACTGCATCCCAGCCTTCACCATGAAATGGTGCTTCTCCTTCATGATCTTACTTGCCATAGCCCACAGAAAGTCGTGCATTTTCACCACTTGGCTCTTTGCGTAGTAGCCCTCAACATTTTTTTCTGCTATGTGGCTGCTTGAATCCTGCGATCTCATGCATTTATTTCCACCAGCAGACAATTTTTCTCGAGTTTATTGAGTATGGTGTGTCCTTCATCAAAAATTGCCTCCAAACTTTTTTACTCCATCGATGAGCCCCTTATCAACAGAACTTGCTATCAACAGTTCTCTGTCTATTTCAGAATCTTCAGGACATAATGCGCAGTATTAAAAAACACAGTTGTAACACCCTTGACAAGTCTGCTAGAAACTTGGTCAAGGGGAGCTAAAAAACAAAAGACTGACTTAACAAGTCTACCAGAAATATGCCGTAAACTGATTATTCTGTTATTACCATGATCGTATTAGCATTTGCAAGTCAATGCTATGTAACACTGTCGTTGGTCCTTAGGATACCTTTTACCCGAGAATATTTTATCCCTCTCATCTAATGATTAATTGGTCCAACTACAAGGCCGAGTCTTTTCTTGATTATTTTGCCTTTGGGGAATCATTCAACCATTATGTTCAACGTTCCAATAAATCGAATGAATCGGCTTGACATATAAGCTTTGTCATCGTAGTTCCATAAGGTTTCTTCTTCTTTTGTTTGGTTACACGCGGGGTTTGATCAGCAAGTTCCGCTAGGCCAAGATTATGGTAAACATCACAGATTTGAAGTATTATTCTGGCTTCCAAACAATAGAAATCATCATGAAATAATATGAAAACTTCATGCGATCTCCTTCAAAGTTCAAAGCATCGAAAGAATGAAAACGAATATGAAGGTCTAAAAACTGGAATATGGGTGAGAAAATATAATCTGAAAACCCGTGATTTATTACTTTAAACCCATCTAAGCATTTCAACTTACTCCAACGGGGGAGCCTGATCTAAAATACGCCAAACTACTTTTTTTTTTTAAAAAAAAATTGAATCTATATTAATTTTTTAAAATATTTAAACAAATATATCAAACTAATTTTTAGAAGTTAAATTAAACTTAAAAAACTTATCTAAAAAAAAAAATTCCCTTCTCACCCTTTTTCCACATGTTTCAGGTTTCAAAGAGAGTTATGGAACGTGGAGCTGACGATGGAATTTAATGAGTTACACTATTAACAATTATAATATTTAAAAAACAAAAACTGACTTTCATAGTTTCATTCATCGCCCAACAGGTAGTGACTACAAATCAAACAGCAGTAGATTTCTACTATTCTATCCCCTTCTTCAGAAGTCAGAAAGCAAGCCTCCTAGATAACGTGTGGTTTTCAATATTAACGAATAACGAACAAAATCAAAACTTCCTGAAGTTGGGTTGGGCGTAACTTTCTCCTTTCTACACATAGATATGATCCACTTGAACGTGCACAATACAAAAGCGAGAGCAATAATAATTGGGTGCTTCTCTCAACAAAGACTAAGACCAATTGGGTCCCCAACAAATCAAGTGAATCAAATTCTGGGTCTTCTCCATCTCCCTCTTCTCATCAATACTCATATTATCATTGCTCTTCTTTCTCTGGGATAGCCACAAACTGTCTCCCCTGTCAGCAGATTCTGGTGTTGAACCATTTTGTTTCTCCACAAGCGAATTGAACGCCATCTCGAACTTGCACTTCCTCCTGTCACCATTCATCTTCCTCTCTCTTACACACACTCTTTGATAGATTTTACAAGCCAAGACACTGATGGAAGAAGAAAGAAGTGGGAATTGATTGATATGGGAAGCGATCAAATTGAGGAGTTAACTGATGAGAGGGGATTATAAATAAGGAGGAGGAGGAGTAATTTCTGGAAATGTCTGGGAAAGTGAGAGTTAGGGAGGTGAAGGATGAAACAAGGGGTCGAGCTCCCAGATTTTGTCACAGTGGTTTCGCAATCCACGGTAAGGGAGGTGACAGGTGACTTGTCCCTGTTTTCCCTTTGCCTGCCAGCACGTGGTTACATGCTCCTCCTTTGGTTTTGCCGCAAACGCATCGTTTTCATCCCAACCCTTTGTTTTTCTTTCATTTGAAGCCGCTTCTCATATTCCAATCGTTTCCAAATTAAAAACAAAATTACTTACTTTTTCAGTCTCATTTATAAGTTAAATTTTTATATTTATATGGTAAGCTTATGCATTTACAAATAATAAAGCAGACATATGCATAATTAATTTTCTTATTTGATTAATATATGTCACTTAAGTAGACATTTTAGGGTTATTTGATTTACTTTACTTCTCAAAAATATACTTAATATTTATATCGGTATAGAAATTTTAAAAGATGCCCTACATATAAAATTGGAGAAATAATTTTTTTTACAGAATCCTTAGTTCTTTTTTTTGGGAAATTACACTCAAATGTCAAATAAAATAATTTATTAATTTATGATTCTATAAAATCATCAAATAAGTCTACGATCTTAAGAAACCTGATTGTAATTAAATTTAGACTTAATATATCTTTAGTCTTTTAAATTTGTTCTCATTTTAATTTTAGTTTCTCAAATTTTAAACTATAGATTTTAGTTCTTCTAGAGACAAAATAGTTCAAATTTTTATTGTATTATAAGGGCTAATGTTTTAAATTAATAGAAATTTGAAGAATCAAAACCTATAGTTTGAAATTTGAGAAATTAAAACTAAAATGAGAATAAATTTAAAAAACTAAAAATTATGTTAACCCTTAAATTTAAATCTAAAGTCTCAACCAAATGTAAACACATTTATAAGTGCTCTTTAAATTCTCAACCAAATGTAAATACATTTATAAGTGCTTTTTAAATGTTAAGGTGTGTGTTGATCCTAATGTTTCGATCGTATATAACAACTAACCTGTCCCAAATGTTAATGCCCCGACCCACAATTTCACATCATAACATACAACACACCTAATTTGCTTTCTCCTCATTAATGCCTTTCCCTACTCTCCAACTAAGCTCATTAACTCCCAAATTTCCCCCCTCTTTAACATCCTCACTTCAATTCTTTACTATCATCACCTATAATGAGTATGAACAATAAACATCAGGATATTTGTTTGTTCGAAAAAATAAATGCCTAAAGAGGGGGATTTTAATTAAAACAAAATATACTACTCTACTGATACTAATGCTGATTCTCAGCATAAAGAATTAAATGCAGAAATATATTTTTAAGAAAAGCATGCATTAACTTTGAATCAATGAAAAAGAGCCTTTTGAATTTTGATGGCAAGCTGAAGTATGCATATTGTGAATCTGATAAATCTGAGGTGTTTGGCAGCTCGGAATGCTGATATTTTAGAATACGGAGAGAGAGGAGCAGTGAAGATATATATATATATATATATATATATATCTCAGCCAACTTCAGAGGTGAGCATTTATTACATGGAAAGGGAAGTGATTTTGATGGACAGTTCTTGTCGTTGAAATTGGTTCCCAGTGACGCAGGTATGGTGCCCTTCATCCACACTTATCGTTTTCCTCCGTCACGCTCGCTAATTTATCATAATACACACGTCATTTAAAACACCATCCTAATAGCATACTAGTATATTGATGTTGCCGGAATTATTTTTCAAGAGATAGATGCTTATAGCATGTTTCTATATATAAGAGACACTTACAATTGTCTCTACTTTTTTATGCGATTTTCTATTGTACTATGATTGTAATCAACTCTCCCTCCGATCACTTCCTTCGATAATTTAATTATTCTCTCATACTCTCTTTCCTTATTAATGAGGCATTTTAAAAAAACCCTTATACTCACATTGATTGTTCTTAACTATATTGACTATTTTTTTTATCAATGTAATTCAGTTATTCGTCTCTTATAAAGGACTTCGTTGAAGCCGGATCCTTATTATTTTATGTTCTTCTTATCCTTAATATAAGACTTATTTAACTAATTTAATTAGATTTAAAAAGTTAGATAAGTTAGTTAATTAATTATAAAAAATATGACATGTTTTTCTTAAAACATTATAATCATCTTCTTTAATATTCTTTCTTCATTTCTTACTTGATTATAATTGACAACGCATCAATAAGGATAATTTTATAAAAAAAACCTAACAAATATGAAAAATAACTCTAACATTTAGAACTAAAATTAACTTAATAATTACGTCTTATAAGGAGAAGTATCACTCTATCTATAAATTAAAGGTATAACACGAAGCCTAAAGGAGGTCAGATTGACTTCATGTGAACAAATCCCCAATGGTCCAAGGTTTAATTTGAAGCAAGCCACCAATGCAATCATTGACAGAATGTTATAGTATACTACCCCCAATCCTTAATATAAGAGTTCGTTTCATTTTTATTTTGATCCTAAATATAAGATTTTAATCTATTTTGTCTTTCATATTTATTTATTTTTAATGTAGTCTTCGTAATAATAGTAGTTATAGTCAATACACTTGATTAGTAAAAATATTTAAAAAAAACACATATTTATTACAATTAACTACGTTAGCTAGTTTTTTACTATACTCAAATTAATAAACTCATTCTTATATTAAAGTCTGGAGGTAGTATTATATTATTGGGATGCTAGATGCCAGCAGATTTTCAACAACATGTTCGAGTCCCATAAACTTCATCATCCGTAATGCTCACAGCCCACACACACGCACGCACGCACACGCTCATGTGCACATCATTCATTCCCTTCATTTCTGCTTGGCAAATAGTGCAGCACCACCATATCCTTCCCGCCTTATTACGATTAATACGTGCATGCATCGCTCCTTCCATATTAAGATTTCATTTTGTTATGTGTGTTGGGAATATAATTCTTAATTATCCAAGGTCTACTGATGCCATGTTTATAATTCATATTAACTCTTATTATTGATAATTTATTTTGATTTTATCAAATAAACAAACTACGCAGTCAATTTTTTTTTTGGACCAGAATACGTAGTCAATTTATTTTAATAACATTGGATCTTGATATTTATGATTTTATCACTATATAATAATACTATTAGTGTTTTGATAAATTTCTAACTCTACAATTATGTTCATTACGATAGAATATTATCATTACGTATTGACACTAAACATAGTTAAGGCAGGGAGGGCGGGTGGCCCATTAGACATTTTCAGTGTGCATGATTCTAACGGTAAAGTTGAACAAGTGCGCCCGAGGGATTTAATTGTCTTTGTTGCAGATTTAATGACCGTCGATCCATTGGCTCATAAACTCGTGCGTTCATAAATGCTGCAGAACAATCAAAGGCATGGGCATTAAATATTCCCTGGACGACACGTTGCGAGCATACCGATCTCACCATAAATTCACTTACACTCAACCACTACCCTTCCCCACCACTTGAGAACCAAGTTCTCCTCTATCCTCCCTTCCCCTTCCCCTTCCCCCTCCACCTTCATCGCTGCTCCTTCCAACACCCAACCTCACCAGATTCTTCCGTGCAAAAACATTCTGTTTACTCACACTAAAAACAAGGCCCTTCAAAGATTTCTAGGTGTTCTAGATTTTTATTCGATCGCCGGAGCTCTGTTTCGGTAACTTGAAAGCAAAGAAACTGTCCGGAAGAGTTTTGGAAGCTCCGCCGCAACTATGGCCATCTCCGGCCACGGAAAATCCCACTCTGACTTCAAGGTTTTTCAACTTTGTCTCTTCGGGCAATCGAGGAATGCGTCGCCGCCGCCGTCGGCGTCTGCGGCAAATAACGTTCACCTTAGTAACGAAGGAAGCCGAAGCGACGGACACCAGGAAGGACACTCTCGGAAGTCTGCGTCTTTTAGAACGGTGTCGTCTGCTGCGAGATCTTTACTTCCCCCTCGGCGTAGGCTCTGCCTTGATCCTTCTAAATATCTCTACTTCCCCTGTAAGTCCTAATGTTTGCTGTATTTCTCTGTTCGTGTTTGTTCAACATGACCTCTGTTTCTGTCCCAAAAATTTGAGAAATTCTGAAGAATGAAATGTTTGACATTGAATTTTGTGCCAATCCTATTCCGAGTTGGAATTCTAGTTGCCTATTCTACTTACCCTCAGCCAAACGATATTTATTTATAAGCAAGAGTACTTTATACCATATGTCTTCACTGCAAAATCCACACGTTGTGTTTTTTTATTCATATAGTAAAACCTGGCACAGTCACGTGCGCATGATCACAGATACGTCTATCCCCCAAAATCCGTTCTGTTTGCACAATTGCATTGTTTAACTCCGAGCTTATTTTATTTCTCTTCCTTCTTTCCTCATACTTTGTTTTTTTGTTTTCTTTGAAGATGTACCTGGTAAACAGGTCAGAACAGCTGTTCGGTTAAAAAACACTAGCAAGTCTCCTGTAGCTTTCAAGGTATCATTTTTGTGTCCTCGCGTGTCTCTCTTGTTTCACAACAGATAAATTTTCTCCATCATTTTGTCAGGCTCCCGAAGCACAAACAAGGACAGACAGTACACGATATGTAAAACGACAAAACAAGTGTCAAGCGTATGAAAATATGCCTAAAATATGGAAAATGTCTATCACTAAAAAGAATACGGACAATGTCAAATATGTGTTAAAACATATCTACAAGGTACATCACGAGAGTCAAGTGTCAAAATTTTGTAGATTTTGCCCGAAGGCGGTATATAAAATGAAGGGTTCTTATTGTTGAACTAGTTTCAAGTATTTTATCTCTGTTATACGGGGACTCGTCTCCTTTTTCGTTCAAGTACTAGGTAATCTGGTATTGACATCGATGCTTGTAGGTGATGCCTTTGTTTTTGTGCTTTATTTTTGGGCATATGCGGATAAGCTTGCTATGTGTGTCTTTCTAATCATATAACACTGTTTCAGTTTCAAACTACAGCACCGAAGAGCTGTTATATGCGACCTCCTGGTGGCATACTTGCACCTGGAGAAAGCCTGATTGCAATAGGTAAAGTATATTTTTTAAATTTTATTCTTTATTATTGATTATTATCTTGTTAATATTTGCATTGTATAAATTTTACTTCCTCAATTTGATGGTCAGTGTTTAAGTTTGTGGAGCAACCAGAGATCAGTGAAAAGATCATGGACCTGAAGAACAAGGTTAAGTTCAAAATTATGAGTCTCAAAGTGAAAGATGGAGTGGACTATGTACCTGAGCTGGTAAGTTCTGGGGAAATATTAGGCTTGATTGAACAATGTCCATATCCCAACAAAAATATTGAGCAATTAGCAGTCTTCAGCTCCTGGTTCTATAATTGACATATCCACTTCTGTGAAAACGGGGTTCTAACGTTCTATAGCGTTCCTTTTTATGGTGGAGTGGAATATGCTTTGCCGTAGAATGTTAAAATGTGCCAAGAAAACAAATTTTCGAAGTGTTGAGATGATGTTTTCCCCACATTATATAATATCGGGAAGAATAAAGTTTCATGTCAGCTTCATCTTTTTCGGGCCACGGCATTTTTTCTGGATTGTCTAATGGTTTGGCGTTTGGCTGGGGATGAATGAAAACTATTTGATTTGGGTCTTCTGTTATGCAGTTTGATGAACAAAAGGATCAAGTGGCAGTAGAACGAATATTGCGGGCTGTGTTTAGAGATCCAGAGCGGCCATGTCCTGTAAGTTAGACTATTCTGAAAATTGTGTATCTCTTAGTACAGGATCGATACACGATAATGACAATCCGATTTTTATAGGCTTTGGAAAAGATGAAAAGACAGTTGGCTGAAGCCGATGCTGCAGTTGAAGCTCGTGAATCTCGCAAGAAGCCTCCTGCTGAGACCAGTCCTCGAGTCGGTGGGGAAGGACTTGTAATTGATGAATGGGTATGAAATGACATATTCTAAATTTTTGTCCAATTCAATATGTTCCTTACAGCATTTCCCCTGTGTTGATATACACTCGTGTCCCGTTTCTAGAAAGTAAGACGTGAGAGGTACCTGGCACGACAAGTTGAAGCTGCGGCAGAATCAACATAAGATGAGGTTTTCTCTTCCTGTGTGCGCTTCTGTTCAGGGTGGATGTTTCTGCTGTGAGACAATATTGACCATGGGTATGCTTCAAGTCAACTTCTGGGGAAGTAACTCTTCTATGATGCAAAGATTCATTCTGTGATTGGTATAGTTTTCGAACTCCGTCCTTTGAGAGGAGCATTCTGATGTGTACATAACAGATTCAGCCTGTTTTGGGAATAACTTCCTGCTCTTAGCATCTATCTGCCTGTGAAACTACCTCGTCTGATAATGGGTGATTCAATATAATCTCTTTTGTTTGAATATAAGTGATGATCCACATTGATTTATTGTTACTAATGACTAGCATTTTTATCTCAATACAACAGAGGAGGAACGAACACAATAGAGGGCCTGGAATTTTAAATTCCCCTCAATGGCCTAGTTGTAAAATAAAGGCAGAACGGTGAAGTAGGAATAGTCAGAAACGAAGCGGAAATCCTAAAATGAAACGGATCCTGTACATTATAGGCTGACAATGGAGCCCGAATATGATAATTACGGAAGGATTAAACTGAGTGATCGGTGCTCAATACCGTCATCAAACATTCGCCGCCCGGGAATTTGCTGGTGTGTCGGCCACAAAATTTGCCTATTTAGAAGTGAGATTTTTTTTTTGGGGGTTTCATCCTAATGCAATTTGATTATTGGAAAAATAAAAACCCATAAAAATCTCGCCTTGTAATATGGTTCACACATGTATTATTTAGTACGTAGGCTGCCACCGGCCAGGAGTTCGTTTGTGGTGGTCGAACGGGTAAATTCAGAAAACATCCAGTATATCACAAGAAATCCAACAAGCAATTTTATGTGGTCCTATTCGTTATTTGTTGGTGTTTGTCTTCCCAAATTACATATGCCAGATTATGCGATGAACAGGAATATGCATCAAAGGCACAAAAGGCGTAAGAAATCTCCAGAGTCTCTGAGGAAATCAGAATGGATTCTCTGCCACACAACGTGCCCAAAACATGACAAATCTAACGGGCCATAATCAGAACATGACAAGTTACTAAATTAAATCCAACTCAGATACGATAACCCAACCCACCAAATCCTAAACACGTGTCCGATGTTAACTAGCTTCAGAAATTTCCATCGAGTTAACTTTTTAAAGATTTCATCCCATGTCTGGTTCATTTCACCACTCCCTACTTTTAAATGTAGTCATGTTCCACAACCACCAAGTAGCGTAGAACCTCACAAGGTTCATGAATATGGATCCTGATGGTAAAACGGGAAGCATCTTTTGGTAACCACAAAGAAAGGATTCTCGATGCGGATGACCCACTAGCATATCTGCCCCCAGTATTCTGACTTGACCCTATTTAATCTCCGCCACAATCACCTTACCTTCAATCCACACCAGAGAAGCACTTTTCTTTTCTTTTTTTTGCTGCTATCTTTTTCTGTGTTATCCTTTCATCTCCTTCTTAGTTTCGTATCTGACCATGTTAGAGGGTAAGGCAGTGATTGGTGAAGCTGATATGCTTCAGACTATGCAGCATGATGCCCTGGATTTAGCATCTAAAGCACTTGATTTCTTTGACGTCACAGAGGCCACTGAGATAGCCCGTTTCATAAAGAAGGTATAAGAGTCACTCATGTTCTCTTGTTTTCAGCAGCAATTGATGATGATTGTAACATAATAAGTCACGCGTGTTGATAATTTAATCTTATCTTACTGTGTCGTTAATTGCAGGAATTTGATAGGACGCATGGAGCTGGATGGCAATGCATTGTAGGGACAGATTTTGGTTCTTTTGTGACCCATTGTTCTGGCTGCTTCATCTATTTCTGCATTGGCAGCTTGGCCATCTTGCTCTTCAGGGGCTCTACTACCCCAAAAGCAGAGGAAAGTTAGTTCTTGAGGCCAGAGACAGCCACACCATAACATTATTTCTTTTCTTTTCTTTTTATTTTCTTGATTCCTCTCCAAGTTGCTACTATTTGCTGTCTTGCTTCTCAAGATCAGATCTACATCTATAGTCCAAGCCACACAATTAGAGGTTTAAAAGTTATTAATTGGTGGCTTTTCGTTTCAAGTTTTTTCTTCAAATTTATGAAGTTAAAAACTCATATTGATGTATGATTTTGTAGTTCTCCATCTTCTCTTCTTTGACCGACTTGTTGATGGGTATAAGAGAATATCAAAGGGAAAGAGAGTCAAATATTTGATCCCTTTCGAAATGTTCAAGTTCTGTTCTCTCTATTATCCAGTATTAAAATGATCATCGACGCTAAAGAGGACATTTGGTACATCTTATCCTAAACATGTGGGAAAAACTTGGTGGATGTTTAGTCTTCAATGGAACTGGAGATAACATCATATACTGGATTAAAACTACTCCCTCCTTTTAATGAAACAAAATATGAACTCTACGCAGTTCAATAAAACTAAGTATTTAAAATTATAATATCTCATCACAAATGCCCTTCATTAAATATTATTCTGATATTAATATCGGGTCTGTTTGGACTAGTAGTAGAAAAAGTAACTTCTTTACAATATGACTTTTAGAAAAATGAAAGTGAGTAAAAATTAGATTGGGTAATGTGATTTATGTTTAGATTAATTTTTATAAATAAGTTAGTTAGTGAAAATAAGTTATTCAGATTATGATTGAATAAGTAATTTTAGTTTGTAAAATTACCAAAATAAGTATGACTTTTATTAAATAAAAAAAATAAAAAAATTATCAATTTACATAATATAATAATTTTAAATTATTTATAAGCTCCTATTGATCTCATTTTTTTAATTTATTATAAAGGTATATTTGAAAATAAAACTATATTTCTAACTTAATAATTACTTTTAATTGATTTTTTATTATCTACAAATTAGTTATTTGAGATTTATAATAAGAATTAGAGGAAGTAATAAATTTTTTAACCTTTTCTCTCTCTATGTTTCAAAAGCCATAAGTCATAAGTTATAAGTCATAAGCAGTTAATTTTTACATATAACTTATTATAGTTTTTTTATGTAAAAGTCAGATTGCTCAATTACCAACCCATACATCATAAATTTTTTAAATGTGTTCATGGTTGAAAAAAAGTAGTTTGTTGGAACGCTGGGACAGGCTCATTCTCTCACGCTTTCTCATACAATCTCTCTTGATTAATTAAAAGAAATTTTACGGGCTTTTTGAGACATTAATTACGCTCTATATTTTGATAAACGTGTTATAAATAGGAATACTAAAATCTTTCTAAAAATTGTGTAATGGAAAAGCGGGACGACTATTAAAAAGATAAATTTGGAGTTAAAAAGTGGATAAAAGCTTGAGAGTAATCCAAGTTGTGAGGAGAGACAAGAATGGCTGAATCCAAAATGAGGTTTCTAAAGATCCTTTGATTGTTTTGCGCAAGAAAAAGGTCATGCCTGAATCCATGGAATCTAAAGCATTTCCATAAAGTTGTCACGCGTGAGAATCAAATTTCGTGCCGTACGGGGCCTTTTACTAGCTTGCTAATTTTTATTGACGTTTAATTATATACACATATATCTATATGTTGCTCATTTGAATTCGAAGTAGTTTCTGAATTTAGAAAAAAAAAAATCAAGGTATTACAATTGAGCTAATATCGTTCATTTTAATTGAGAAATTCAAATGAAATTATTTTATTTAAACAATCTACTGTGGTTGTATAAATTTTTAAAATATTAAAAAAGAAAAGAACTTTATTTTTGGCCACCTGTTCCATGCCACACGTTTTCGCCCTCCACAGTGCATAATGTGAATGCTGAGAAAAGAACTTCTCATTAATTAACGCCTTATAACTTTCAAAAGAGTGAGAGTTCATGTATCGTCCTATTATATTTTTCTAATTTCTTCGTAACCTGAGGATTAGATTTTATAAATAAAGGTTATGTATAAAATCCTAATATCACTAAATGAATGAGAAATATCTTCTTATTTTCTCTCCTCATTCTTCTTATCTTGCTATTCTCTTTTATTTTCTCTGCTCTCAATTTTTTGTAATGCAAAACTGAAGCAAAATATTTTATTTTCGGCCAAGAGCAGAAAAAAACTTGGATCATGAGAAACAGATGCTACTTCGGCAATTACCGATTATATATCGGTCTTACTCTTAATCTATTTCTTAAATGAAAAATAAAGCAATACTTTTTAATAATATATATATAGTATCAATTTATATTATTAAATGTTACATTTTATTGCTTATTATTAAGTTGTTACATGGATTACATGTTTAAAAATATTAATATTCTATTATTCATCATAATGTTGTAATCCAAATGAAAATATCATATTTAATTTAAATATTTTTATTTTAAAAAACAAATGACACGATATTTTAAATATTTTATAGGAGCTAAAAATTTTGCATTCACCGGTACCAGGACACAAATGAAAATAGCATCTCGGAGCTCCGGTGGAGGCAGAGCAACATGGTCCATACGTTTAATACGTACGTGACGTTTAATACGCCGCGTTTTAAACCATAGATTTCGCTCCTCCCTCCAAATTCACAAAGTCTAACATTTGACGTTGCTTTCCCGTAAGTCCCCTTTCCCTGGGCTTCGCCTTGTGCACGTCCATATTGATATATAACTCCTCTCTTCTCCCACAATCATCACCATTTTCACTCTCATGGCCTCCTCTCCCACTCCCACTAATCCAAGTCCGACGAGGTTTACGATTCACTACTTCTCCATCTCTTTAAAGTTTAAACTCACTCACTTCTTATGCTGTCATGTCTTTTATTTAATGTGTTTCCTTTTTCCTTATCATGATCAGGGAGGACGAGGACAATGTGTTCAAGGAAATGCAGGGGATTTTTGACAAGTTGCTCAAGTTCTTGGTCGGCGTCTTGGCCTTCAAGTTTACAGATGAGGGGCAGCAGTTTTTCAAAACTCGTCATTATATGATGGTGGCCCTTGTTCTGGTAATCGTGCTTTACTTCTCAGCATGGCTGCTTGTGAGGGCTCCTCAGCTCCATGCCAGGAGGGCCTTACTCTCTTTCATAACCTGCTTCGTTCTTATCATTGGAGTCATTTTTTCCATCTGGGCATTGATCATTATGTTATAGCCCCGTTCACGATTCACTTCTCCTGAATTTGATTGTGTTTCTGTTTGGGCTTTGATCATTATTTTATAGTTCTTTCATGATTCACTTCTCCCGAAGTGTTCCCTGGGAACAGAGTACTAGGCTGCCAATCCACATTCCACAAAAGCTCTGTTTTCTGACTTCTCGCAGTTGTACTGTCTGATTCAATTTTATCTTTTGTTTTGGGGAATGTAGCAGATATCTATCTTATAAAAAAGATTCAGGGTTTATGCAAGACTTTGTATTTCTTGAATTACCGGTCACTCTGTATCATCTGTTTGTCGAAAGTTATGTTGTTGCTCTGTTCTGTAGTAATTTAGACAGACTCAATGGACAAAGCAACAGTACTTAGGCTGCGTGTGATCTCAATTATGTGATAGCAACAGCACATAATTAAGTTTAACTTAGCAGTTGTAGTTCTTACATAACGAAGGGAAACTGGTAGATCCGTGAGGGCTCCTGAACTAAGCTGCAGATGAAGCAGTATTAATGTCGTCCATAGTGCCGGTGTTTTCAAAATCCAGAGAAGAAATCACACTTTCAAGCTTATAGTCCTATCTATGTTCCCAAGTTATCATCTTTGTAGATATTTCGCCATTTTTTTCACCAGCAAGGCACAACTTAGGTAGCGTTTGGTTTGGTGCGGAGTGAAGATGAGAGGCAGGAATTAAGATTGAGATTGAGAAAATAGCACTCCGGTACTTGGGACCTAATTATTAGTAAAAACATGTCATTTTTTTTATAATTAACTAACTTACCTAACTTTCTTAATCTAATCAAATTAGTTAAATACGTTTTATATTGAGGATCAGAAGAATGTTTAATACAAGAGATTGCTTATTATATGGGATTAGACAAATCCATGCATATGGGATAAAGAAATACTATAAAGAAAAGTAGTATTTTCTAATTCTATTTTCATATGTTTGTCTAATCTCATGTAACAAGTAATTACTCATGTTAAAGATTTTTTTAATAATTTTTTTATTTGTAATATTAGTCTCAATTCCTCATATATATGTTTCATACCAAACAGGATCTTAATATCTTCATTATCCATATTTTCATCCTTCCCAGCGTATCTCGGGGGCTTTCAACCCTATCAAGTTTTCATCATCAAATGGCAAAACCTTGTAATAACTTTCCCAAAAACAAAACAGAGAAAATAAGAGCAGCAACAAACGATATCTATCAGAATCAGGCAATGATCCGTCCGTTTTTACTTACAGAAGCTGTATTCACGACTTTGAATTATTTATTTTTATATGACCCCTTTCCCAATAGCCTCGTGTATTTATTAATTTTTACCAAGAATGCCCCTATTAAAGAAGATATTCTCACATTAATTAATTCAAAAGGAGAGGAGGTTTTAACTTATCAAATGGTATTTTTGACAAAATGATACCAATCATTGGCAAGTCTATTATGTTTAACTAAAATAGTTGCATTAGTTAATTGAAGTAGTTAAAAGGCTCTGCTACAATTAGAAGCGAAGAGAGAGTCTGATGAACTTTTCATAAGTTAATGATAACCATCGGCATACTCCCTCACTAATTGGCTGACTACAATTTGGAGGGAGACTATTATTGAAAATTTTCTTCTTGTTTTACTCTGTCATTTAGGACCATTCATAGTACATATGTGAGGGCTTTTTTTTAAAAAAAAAATTATTGTTTAGAGTATAGAACTTGGATTGGTAGAACACGATGGACATCCTTTTCATCTAAAAAGAAGAAAAAAAACATGGATCCGTCCATATACTCTTTGATAAGAGGAGAATGGAGATGAAGAATTCAAGAGTCAAAGTCATCCTGATTAGGCTTTGGTGAGGTCAAGAGGGCAGTGTACAGGCGAAGTCTGTCCTCCCCGAGGGAAGAGCATCGAGACACTGGCCTCCGGGGCCTTATGAACGACAACGACGCCAACGTCAAACGATGCCTGTGCCTCCGCCACGCCAGCTGAATGGCGACGGCCGCCCAAGTTCTCCATCCCGGCGAGTAATACCTGGCGCTCCTCTTCACCTTCTCGTTCATGAACGTGTACCTGAAGTGCTGCGTCACGTACTTGACGTCCTCCGCTTCGAGCCCAAACGCCTCCGTCGTCTCCAGGGTGATGAGGGTCGACGACGACGGCGGCAGCCGCTCTATGAACGGCCTCCTCAGACACCACGAGAGGAGCTCGTCGCCGCTGAAGTTCCCTGGGCCTAACATGCAGTAACTTTTCACGCCGTCCCTCAGAACCTGACTGCTCTGAAGGTGACCCCTCACTACGAACAGCATTCTCTGAACCGGATCTCCCTCTCTGGTTATCTGCATTCATTTCTCAAGTCAGTATACAATTTGTCTTCATGCCATTGCCTTCCTCATATCAAAGAAGCTTATTTGGAGCTTACTGTTTCTCCCTTTGTGAATATGAGCGACTTCACGCGGTCGCAGATGTTCTCCAGCACCAGTTCATCCATGTGCTGAAATAATGGAACCTGATCACAGTATAAAACGCCTTACATTCCGTCCGTGGGCCTGTTGGGCCTTAACTCTCCAAATTATTGGGCTCAAAATGGAGATGGGCCGGGGGGAAGCGAAGACTATATATATACCTGTCGGACCAGGTCCAAGCAGAGATGGTACTTGATGTCCCTTCGGAGGCCCTCCGGCAGGTTTCTGATCATCTCGAATTCGTCGACTCCGCGCGTCGCCGCCCATCGCTGCCGCTCGTAGTTACGCACGCGCTGCCGGAACCCAGGAGGAAGGTGCCTCTTCCTCATCCACCATTCTATGTTCCTCATCTTCAGCTGCATCGCTTGCTTCTTTGATGTGGTCGCATGCAGAAACACCTGCCCCACATTTTTTTCCCTTGTCAATTTTCAAATGAACCCCCAAGAAAAAGTTGAAATTTTGAAGCTGGAGTGATGACGGTGCATGACTGTGTGCTCGTGTTTTTCTCTCACCTTGATGTTCCCAATCAACATGGTGACGAGAATAAGGCCACTGGTCAAAACAATGATGTTGAAAACCACTTCTAGCCATTCTGTTGTGCTCTCTAGGTTCCCGAAAGTGCTAGTCACATCCAACAAATTAATTAAAGATTGAGTAACCATAAAGCAAAGGATCGAATCTCAGTTTCGCTCAAGGGGGAAAAAAATAAAAGATAACATCCAAGTGCAAAGTAACATTAATGTACATGTTCATCAGGACAATATAGCTTTCTTCAATTCTTATGTTCACATGCATCATGCACTATGCAGACGCTTTTTATTATTGACTTTGACTGAATCACAGAAAATTTCCAGACAGCTACTGTAATATTCTAGTCACCGTGCAACCTGCTTTTAACATAATTATGCACACGTCTATATTTACATTATAAAATCAAAACTAAAGCTCACTTTTAGTGCCATGATGAATTGTACTGGCGATGATCAAATTAAAATAAAGCAACGAGGACCGTGACTGTAGGCATCCAAGAAACAGTGATACAAGTAATTAAGAACATGACATATGCAAGGGTGAAGAGAAGAAGGTATGTATATATACAGATACACACACACACACCTGAGAGTCATGAGGCCCCAAAAGATGGGAAAGAGGATCTTTTCGAGTCGGCTATCGTTGGTGACAAGCTGAACGGTCCATTTATAAGCTCCATAGTCGTAGTTGTCAGAGGTATCCAAGCAGGTCGACCTGGCTTGCCTGTTTGCTGCCCACGAGAGTCTCGCCCTATCCCTCACCATCCCACTTGTCCCATAATATATTGGTTCCTTACAAGACAGTATTCTTAATCCACACCCACTTGTTTTCCCACACTGCTCTTTTAGACACTTGGATGCCCTCTGAATCCCTAGCAAGTACCAGCATGCCCCTGCTGCCTGTTTCACGTGCTTCTTTCTTAATTATAACATTAATATATAATTAACCTTCATCATTAGTCATATATTACCAATACGTCATCTATGCGTGTTAATCCCTAATATAATCTTTTAAGTTTGTCGAGCACGTCCTCGTTCCACTGGGAATCTTAATTTAAAGAATAAAATACTACTCACTAACTTGTGCTCTCCGCTCCTTGTCGTCTCTTTTCTTTGGGGTTTTCTTCTGTAGGCGTCATTTAGATAATGACAGATTCCTGCTTTTTTGTTCCTAATATAACCAACCTTATTATTGTGACATATGGCTTCCCACTTTTTGCTGTTTCAAAAGTGGAAATGCAAAGGGAGATATGATTCACGTAACATCTTAAAATTATCATCCCAAAACTACAGGAAAAGGAGAGAAGATGACATATATATATATATATATATATATATTGTTAACCCAGGGGAGGAAATTTCTCACTTTGTTTGTTTGTCTGGTGACTGGTGAAAAAGAGGATGAGAATAATTGAAGTAACTAAAGAGTGAGACGGACACAGGAGAGCTGGGGTCAGTAACTTACATGGGAGGCCACGAAATAGGCGATCATGTTAAGGGCAATTCCCCACCAAACAGTGCCAAAAATGTAGCCAGAAAGGTTTTGCAAGCGTCGCAAGAGGCAAACAGAGTGATATATCTTTGGAAGATATTGAAACAGAAACATTATTAAGAACACCGTCATCACCAATGTCACTGACCCTTTCTCCAACAGATACGGGATTGTCACCCACAGTACAATCTGCAACCAAAAAAAAACCAGTGTGTTCTTGTACATGAGAACTTGCTTACGGGCATCGCACTGATTTCCTAGAAGTTTCATATTCCGATAACATAAAATATCTGATACATGTCCTTCTTTTGTGTCACTTCTTAGTCTTTCTATGAATTAACTTTCCTAGCCCCTGGTACACAAAAACAAACAGCACAAAAGTTCATATTTTCTTTTCTTTTAAATTTTAACTGTCCCTCTTTTATTTTAGACCATCCGCCCGTGTTTGAACAAAACTGTGAATATCCGGGTCTATATACGCATTTGATGCGATTTGCTGTTTTCTCCTCCTTTCATATGGAAAAAATGAAAAATGAGTTCAACAAGGAGTCAAAAACATACATCATTTTCATGTCTGGGATCGATTTGCTGTAATTTTCAGGATCACAGAAAAGTTACGTTGGATTTTTTTCCCGACGAAAAAAAACTCTACTATATCTGCTATATATATTCGGGGACCACTCTTTCACAAGAGGACGAAGAATCAATTTGGTTGTACCTGAAACGGTGGTTCCCATCATGATTTGACCCATGTTGCTGTCGATTTCAGAGTCATTCGGGGCCAGTTCCACATAATGAATCAATGTATATCGAAACATATTTATATACAATAAAATTTTTTTAATACATTATATTATTTATCAATCATAAGCATAATTTTGGTAAAAAAAAATCATAAACATAATCATTTCTTAAAATTTTCAGGCAGCTTGAAAAAAAAACATATTTAATTTTCCCCACATAAGGAAACTCAGCTTGTGCTTAGGTCATTCATCCTTTGTTTTGCAAAATATAGAAGTTTTAAAAGCGTTTTCCAATATTAAATCATGATATATATATATAATAAAGTAATTAAGAAAAGAGATCCAGTAATAATTAATTTGCAAGAATAACTGTCTTCTTCTTCTTCTTCTTCTTCTTTTTTTAAATAAGCAAGAAAGAATATATGTTCTAGCTTTTGGACGTAATTTTTAATTTTTTTTACCTCCTATATATTTCAACTATTTAAAATAGCTATTGTGAAGTGTGTATATATACACACACACATTGTAAGAAGGAAAAATCTCTCTATAAGCCGCGACAAAATCAGTTTAGGATAGAAGCAGAACTTTTGTTATATATATTGAACTTGATCAATGCAAGTTATTAAGATGAACATTTTTGGGGGGGGGAAAAAAAAGAAAGAAAGGAAAAGGAACTGATCCGCTATCAAGAGGGTTATTAGTATCCATCATTAAGAGATAATTTACTTGAATAAAAGCAAACAATAAGTAAAAGTAAGACAAGGTCAAAAAAAGAAGTAAAAAGTAAGAAGGCCTGGGTGTGATTTCATGGTAATTAATAGAGGCGACATCAATTGGGAAGGAGGGAATCTTTCCTTATTAAACAAATTACTCCTTTAACTCGTCAGAAGTAGCTCTGCGAAAGAATGTATATATGTATGGCTGAGAAAGGAATGCAATTATTATTGCAGCGTGTCCAGTTTTTTGAAGGATCATATCATCAGAAACATTGATGCACAAATAATGAACATACAGACATGAACAATCACATGCATCCAGTTAGCTTCGTAGCAGGTAACCATCATTTTCTGCATGCATCAAAACAGCATCCTCTCATGCACTTGTCCTCTCCTCCATTCCTTCCCCATGCTAGCCTAGCCACTACCTACCTTATCCCCCCGACTGTTCCCACTACTCCCTCCTCTTCCCTTTTACCCTCCTCTTCACCACAATATTATTTTAATTAATCAACTTAATTATCTTCCCAATGTCCCCTATTCAATTTCCCTTCTCACCCCCCTTCCAAAAAAATATATCCACAATTAATTAGGATAAGACGCTCAAACATGACCCTTCACAGAAACCAATAATAAAGCAATTCCTTCGAATTAGCCAGATTTCTTTTCCATATGAAAGAGCATGGCTTTTTTAAGAGATGGGAGATTGTTACTGTTTACTGTCGTGGGAAAAAACAACGAAGAAGATGGGATAGAGATTGTGACCTGCGGTAGAGGGAGGATGACGAAGAGGTCGAAGAAGAAGCCTGTCTTGACCTTGAGATAGCCAAGAGCCACCAGGCGACGGCTAGTGCTCACGGCCAAGCCGCTTCCGAAGTGGCGCTTCCCCATTTTGAACTGCAGCCACATGTTCCAGAGGTGCAGGGCATCCGTCATGCAGCGGAGCGCCGTGACGGTGACGGCGAACCACCCGTCGACGAACAGGCACATGCACGTCTCGCTCACGGATAGGGCGTAGAAGAAGAGTGGGTCCACGAACAAACCCATCGCGCACACCAGCAGGAACACCCTGTTCCATTCTCGAATCCACTTGGCCCTCGGGTCCAACACCTTCCCGCCATAACCGCAACCTCCGGTCACGCCTTTCCTCCTCCAGCACCACCCGGCCGCCTTGTCGCTGTCGTCTGTTCCGTTGGTCTCCTCTTCTTCATCGGTCTCCTCCTCCGCGTCGTCCATGCTGTCTGTGACGCTGTAATCCTCGTCGTCATCCGTCGTGTGGTGGTTATCGTGCCGGCGAGAAGCACGTGAGTAGTCTAGCTCCGCAGTAGCCATGGAGTTGAGAGAACGAGAGAGGGGCGGAGCTGTTCTGGTGCAGAGGGGTCCGCTTCAGTT